AAGTTCAAACGTTTTTCCTCACTCTGTCAACAAAATAACCCTCAAATCAATGAATTATGGCATATTCCAACATCAATGTTTCAATTTCTTCCCAACCCTACTTGTCGCTCACTTCAATCACCTATTTGGAGCCAACTTCTGATAATAGCCGTTTTCGTAAATGAAGTCTCCGGCCTTAGTTATGGATGAAAAGAGTACAATAATAACTATACTGACATTTTATATCTTTCATTAAATATTCTGTATTACTTTTTATCATTGACCATCCAGCTATAGACAACTTTCTACCATGCTCTCAGGAAAATACCAATTTATCGTGAAATGGGGTTTTTTTAAATTTTTAACTAGAACATTTAATTCTATTAACAAGCAACACCTGACGCGGCCGGGTCCATGGCTGTCAGGGCTCTATAGTTATAATATTTATATTTTCACTGGACGCCAACTCATTTTTACAAAACCGGTAAATGAATAGAAGGATAAATTTCAGGGGTAGCTGGTTTCGAGGACCCAAGAATAATGAATGAGTTGTTAATTTAGGAAATAATGCTAGAATTTATGTTTGAGATGAATCGAGTCTCTCGAGTATTTATTACAACGAGAGGCTATGACGTCTCGGCCATTACCTCATATCTGCATGGTGTTACGATAACACCATGCGATTGAGCCCAGTGGAAATGCTGATGCATGATCCACTGGCTTACTTATGAATGCGAATATACGCGCTTTGTAATGCACGTATATTCTGGATAGGTATACAATTGCTGAATTCTATGTTTTTATTCCGAAATATGTGCTACATTTGTTCGCCCATTTTTTGGAATGATTAAGTAATTATGCTCCACTTTGTGGGGAATAACAGATTTTCCAGTCAATTATCCATAAAGTTTACATCCATCAATTGCGCTCAATTCAGTCGCAGGATCATTTGATTACTGATGTCCGCCTCAGTTCGCTAGTCGGAATGTGTTCCCATAAACGCAACATCTTACATTCAAGTGTAAATTGCAGCCAGTCCATTCCCCCATCTCGATCGTGGCAATAATCCAAATTCAGTGAATTCAAATATCTATAATTATCACAATATTCATTCAACTATAGTAGTGGTTAGTTATTGTTTGCCAATGTTACAGTATTTATTTTTTTAACTGTCTTATTATAGTCATCATAACATTATTTATGTTCTCATTCATAGTCTTCCGATGAGTCCGTATCACGTCGACGTTGAAAGGTTTCGACTCACCGTTACAATTGTAATAATTTGTATTGCATCTTTGGTTAATCATTGGTATATTATTTCAATTATGATAATTATAATAAAGTTTTCTACTGCATTGGTTTTCATCGTTCTTTCCTTGCATTAACACTTCCATCGAAACCCTTTCAAATATTATTTGTTTTTCCAATGATATTTCAATGTCTAATTACGTTTTTTTTTATTTACATTAGGGCTGGTCACATTATTGATCTGATCGTCTCCGTTTCAATACATATACTGGAGGAGTGATTACTATTCGAGAATGACAGGAGACCGTTGAAATTTGTAAACAATAATCTACAAAGATAAATTACACATTTAACTTACCTATTATTCCAGTAAGAAATATAGGTAGAAGTATAGAATGAATTGTATATTTGCATTGTGACGCAATTTTTTAGGTTCACGGAAAACTCTATCCACTACGCAGGCCTCTGACACCCAAACAACCCTGAAACGATAAGAGTTGAACGCCCCGAGTTGAACGCCGGGTCGTTTTTACCAGAACGAACTCTAGAAACCAAACGAAATAGTCCTAAGCTCCAATACGGCTCCCACTAGTTGAAAAACATAGAGATGTATGGTTGGTTACTGAAAGAGCTTAGACTGGGGAGGAATTCTCCGCGTTTAAGGTACCTTGAAATACTTTTTTTTTTCGCCGCCAGGGGGCGTTATGGATAGGTTTTGTTGAGTTTCGGAATACTCTTCGAATTGAATTCTTTGAATTATTTCGTTTCTTTGAATTATTTTGTTTATTTATCCTTTCCCCCGATTATGAGAAAAACGTGATAGTGCCTTAAAAGTTTATAATTGAGTTAGTGAAAATCAAGTGATCTTATTGAATATTGTTCATGTCATTCTTTTCATTGATCGTGGCTACAAATGAATTTTTTCATAGAACCGAATGAAGATGAGAGGTAATATATGTTGCAAAAATCGAACTTAATCTATTGATTTGAACATAACTTTCGTAGCATACCATTATTAAGATCTCTCAATAGAGGAAGTTGATAATGAAATGCAGGTTATCTCACGAGTCTAGTGATTCACAACAATTCTACATTTTAAGGAATTATTCATGATTTTAGGGTCAATGATGTATTGGATAATGAAGAAGAAGAAAGTGGTGAAAATTTGGAGGTATTGTCTAACGCAACAGGGAAGAATAAACTCACTCGTGCACCCCGAATGTCAAACTTTCAACTGGATGCGATTGTAGACTATATGTCCAATCATAGGGAATTTGCACCGGATGGAGATCTGGGTCCTTGTGGACACATAAAGAAAAATACCATGTTGAAAGAGTGAGGTGTAATGTGGTAATACTTATAGTTGATATTATTTCATTGACTATCATTTAATTATTCTTGTCTATGTAGGCTGGCATCATTGGTATCATCCTGTGGGGTCCCCAAATCAATCAAGCAGTGTACAGATGTAAGTTAAATGACAGAATCCCCGTAGTCCAGTGTCTCTAACCTATTATATTTTCAGTCGTGGGACGGCCTGAAGAAAAGAGCACTAGAAAGACAGTCAAATTTGAGGAAGATGCTTGCAAAAACTGGTAATCCAGAAATCACCAGTAAAATGGGACTTACACCTAGGGATGAAAAGGTTTTAGAGATTTGGGGATTGTCCACAACTGGGCCTATCAAAGGTGGAACGGCTGGATTCAGTGGAAAGCCACTGAAGGAGTTACAACCGCCGTCCACCAAACCAAAGAAAGGTGAATCTTATTGCAAGTCTCATCGATCAATCAATTAATTACTGATATATATTTCATATGTTGATTCATTTTATTTACTGTCAGATCGTCCATCCAAGCCACAGTTGCGTAGAGAGAAAGCATCTGATGTCCTCAATAACCTGGCAGAGGCTTCAATGCAGAGTGTATCACAAATGCAGGTACGCAGAATAAATCTTTTTAAAATGCATTTCACGATAGTGTGTTGTCATTTTTTTTCTACTTCCAGGATTATCACTCCATGATGCAGCAATATTTGCCTCTGATTGCCCATGGTGTTCAATCACTCCCACAGATAGCCCAAACACAACAGAGATTCGTTACAATTTTTGAGAATGCCCGGAGTACTCTGCCCTCAATTATCTCAACAGGCACCTTGCCACGAAGCCAGCCCCAAAGTCCAATCCCTTCAGTTTTCTCTGCACCCACACCAGCCTCATCACCAGTTCAATTTAATTATTCACTGAATCCTCTTACTCCCCCTCAATCTCCAGCGAGCTTCCCAGATTGGTCGTCAGGTTTCCTAGCACCCCAAACTGAACACACTGACGATAGGGAGAAAATGAATTCTCCACGTCAATCTCCAATATTGTTTGCTCAAAAATCACCACCTGGAATAATTCAGGCAGGATTAATGGATTTCAACGTGGATAGGGAGCCTCTCCCTCAGTCTTCAGCAGTGCACAAACGAATTGATCACTTTCCAACCCATCAGCCAAACCAAGTTGAACGCACAAACTACAGGATTGATGTAGAAGCGTCATCTCAGTCTCCAGTGATCAAGCAATTGTCACGTGAGTCTCTCAATTTGGCAGCATCGGATGGAGAATTGAAGGACATCAAATTCCATCTGAAGTCTCTCCCTCATACTTCAATTATACAGAATCTCCTTTGTCCATCTGCTAAGCTTCCAACGCTCCGGGGAAAACTGAAATACGTGAAAGTACCGGTAAAGTATCTTCCTCAGTCTCCAGTGCTGCAGGGACTGTCTCATCAGTCTATAAATTCTGGGGCATCAAGAGGAAAATCGAGTAATACTCAAGTTCAATTAGACACTCTCTGTCAATCTCAAAATATGCAGAACCTCCCTTGTTCATCTGTTAGTCTTCGAACAGTCCAAGGAGGATTGAAATACCTGAAAGCACCGATCGAGTGTCTCCCTCAGGCTTCAGTGCTTCAACAACAGTCTCGTCAGTCTCTCAATCTAGCAGCACCTATAGTACAATTAAAGGATACTAAAGTTTAACCGAAGCTTCAACTCCAAACACAAAAGGTACATAATATCTCCCGTCCATCTGCCAGTCTGTCAACCATCAAAAGAGAATTTAATTACATCAAAGTCCCAGTGAAGTCTCTTCCTGAGTTTGCAGTGTTCCAGCAACCATCTCGTAAATGTCTCAATCTTGGAACATTGGAAGGAGAATTCAAGGACACCAAAGTCCAAAGCAAATCCCTGCCTACTTCTCCAGTTGTCCAACACATTGTTCATCAGTCTCCAATTCTGTCAATAGACCAAGAAGATCTCATAAATGATCCAGTGTTCCCCCTTCACTCACAGGATAGTGTGGCACTTCCTTCACAACTCAATAGTGTTTATACACTGGGCCTTCCAGCATCAGACCAAGCATTCATGGAGAATTATTTATGTTTTCTTTTCGTAAACACGCATTGGCAGGACCTTCGTCGCTTGAACCACCGCAAGGTAATATTCCTTTGAACAATTCCATGTAATACATCAAAAATTGGCCAGGAAATGATTCATACGAGGTATATATATATATATATATATATATATATATATATATATATATATATATATTTATTTATTTTTCATTAAGTATTTTTACAACAATTTTCATACATAGAGAGTGATCATAAATAACTGATTCGCAATTGAAAAGTAAAAATCATTACTGATAAAATGATTTCTCCATTATTTGATGACACAAATAATTTTTGATTGTTATGTAACTGGAGGTAATAACAGTACCACCGTAATCACATGAAAAAATCGTTCATTATTTGCTGTCTGAGTTGACGTCCCCTCTGTAAATCTTGATTTCGTGCTCTTCTTGCAGCTGGGCCATGCACTTCATCATCTCCAGGCTGTTCCTCGTCATCATCTTCTGATTCATAAAAATCCTCGTCATCTAATTGTAATCTGCAACGACAGAATTCTCGTAAAGAAGGTACCACCTCCAGATGGGACGCATGAACAACTCTTGATTGAAAAAAAATTTACCCATTGTCTATCATTATGTTGTGCAAAATTGCATAACTTTTGAAGAAGTTTACTACCTTCTCTGGTTCATAGAGTAAAACTCGATCCTTATGTAGGCACCTGAACCTTCCCTTCAACATTCCAAATACCCTCTCAATAGCACAACGTGTGTGTGTATGTCGACGAGTGTACCGATATTCTGGGGTGCCTTCGGCTGCATCAACTATGGGTGTAAGAATGTAAGGTGAAAATGGATATCCTGCATCTCCTAGAATAAGAAAAATAATTTTATATTCTATTGTTTTTACGAGTAGATATTCTGATAATCGAAAAAGTTGTCAATAACTGCGTCAATTTAAATGTGTAAGTCTATAAGGCAATGTTGTTCCAAAGTGAAATAATTTTAGATTTTATTATTTATATGAGTAGATATGATGCTAATCAGAAAAGTTGCCAAAAACTGCGTCAATTGAAATGTATAAGTCTATAAGGCAATGTTGTTCCAAAGTGAAATATAAATATTGTTTCGAATTGAAGTTTAATCTTCAAGAATTATTTACTCAGTAGAAAATATGGCCTACGGTGCTCTGCATTAAAAGCTTGCATAGCCACTTTAACTTCTGATTGTCGCCATATCCTGGCATCATGGACTCTTCCAGGGTATGCATCGATAGATGTGATTCGCATCTTGTGGTCACACGTAGCTTGCACATTGACTGATGAATATCCTTTGTAATTCTTATAACTCCATGGTTCTTCAATGGGTGCATGCATGGCAACGTGAGTGCAATCTGTACACCCCACAATCCCCGGAGACTGTGACTCCGCTTGGAATCTGTGGAAAAAAAAACAATTAGAAAATGTACTGCTTCAATTTCTCTACCTCAAATCAATACTCAACCCTTGAGAAATTCTTTCCAATTCTTGACGCGTTTCAGGGAATTTGATATGCTTATCGGCCAATTGAACGATTGCATTCGTTACATTGCCAATTATGCGACTGACCATGGGTTGAGATAAACAAAAATATTTCATATCAGCAATGCACATTTGAAATGAACCTGATGCATAAAATCTCAGTGTGACTAAAATCTGTAATGAATAATCAATAAGTGTTACCTCAATTATATGACTGCATCTACATTATTCGTCCTATCACATTCTTATTATGGCCATAACCATACATAAACATTCTAACTCAAATACCTGTGTTCTCTTGGCTATCGTTGACGTTGGCCCTTCCTCAGGTAATAATGGATTAATCCTTTCGATTAACCACTCCGCCACTGCTCTTGTTAATCTGGAACATCAAATACATATTCTATCAATTTCTTTATCTTAATGAATATTGATTTCACACAATAATTCAATTATCCAGTTAGATATTTTACCACTAAAACAGTTCCTCAACAATTTTTTTCAACCTCAATGGAAAGACAATTCAATATTGGAAATCTGTAAGAAATGTTAATTACCTGAATCTTTCCCTGAAAACGGCGTCACTCAAAGTATCCAAAGGATCGAGGAGATCTCGTACATATCCATTACGAGCTCGATTGTCCTGATGCATTTGTTGCTCGTTTGCTGCTTCAATTTCACCTTCAGCTATATCTGCTGCAATTGCTCCAGCAATGAGACCAGGGACGGCGAACATTGATATTCAATAATATCACTTGATTTTTACTAACTCAGTTATAAGCTTTTGAGGTACTATCGCGTCTTTCTCATAATAATCGGGAAAAATGATAAATAAACAAAATAATTCAAAGAATTCAATCGAAGAGTGTTCCGAAACTCAACAAAACCTATCCATAACGCCCCCTGGCGGCGAAAAAAAAAGTATTTTAAGGTACCTTAAACGCGGAGAATTCCTCCCCTGGAAATGTGACGAGGTTACGTAAATTGAGAAAAATAAACTGTCGAAGAATTGACAATATTTAATAAATTCAAAAAATTCAATACATCACAAATTTATTCATTAAATAATCCCCTTTTTGATTTTATATCGTTCAAATAAATAACCAGACTAAACTAATTTCAAAAGATCACATTCGTTAATAAATTAAAAGATTTTAGTGTCACAAAAATAAAAGTCAACAAAGTCGGAATAAAATTAGTTAAAATGAAAGTCAAAAAAATAATTAGAATCGAAAGAAAGTCAACGATATTCATGTGAATCAAAACAACACAACAGAAGAATGATTGAAATCGAAATGTCTCCGTGACGAGTAAAACTGGGGACCAAACGACTTAATCGAGACAATAGCCAGTGAAACTATCCGTGGTCATAACATCTATGAACTTCCTAATATTGAATATCCTTGACAAATTCACCCACAGCAAGAGCGCTCGTTTAAGGATTTGCAATCGAATGCAACACTAACATCCATCAGGATTTATTCCACAAAATTTACAAATATCTCATGAACTTAAAGATAACTCCAGCAACGAGAGTCTGTTGAACACCGAATAAAACGTGAACAAACGTAAACGAATGCAATGAATGCGAACGAACCAAACAAAACGAACGAAACGAGAGTTTCAAACAATCGAAAACACAATGACTTTAAGGAAAAAATCCTTTATCGGGTGGACAAGATCTCTTCTAAAAACTAAAATCCATCAAATCTAATCCAAGTCTCTTAGAAAACGTAAATCAATCACTCTAACATGCGCCCGAGACGCCAAAGATCAGAGATCCTGCCCTTATTAAATTAAAATCGATTAGCCACCACACTCACCAGAGCCCTGACATGAAAGAACTCGAAGACCCAAAGAACTCCCGGCTGCATGGCAATAATCCAGATGTCCCAATAAATATCAGAAAACCCGATGAGCCAGAGGTCCAAAAGGCACACCAAAGTCCAACATAACTACCCAAAACGGCGTCCTACAAAAATCTGACAGACGTGTGAAACAACCACACTTTGTCACCACTAGAAGAGAAGTGATCACTCAAATTATTAGGGTATCAGCGCGACCATCAATTGCGCGGCAATAATTCCTATTGGCCCCCGTCATATGTCTACTAAACCACAATTATCATTGAGCCCCGAAAATGACGTTTGCGCTCTATTAATTTTACGCCTGCGCGTTACCAAACTGTGTTGAATAATTAATTATTTCAACGAGACTAAATTACAAATTACAAATCTGATTATATCACCGACTCATCAACCATAATTTCACCCTTCCGGCTACATTCAATTAATTAAACGATGTTCAAGACGTGATTCAACCAAATCCAACGGCATCCCCGGACCTAAATGATATCACTGTCTCTTTCTCTGACGTAGATTCGCATTACATTGTACAAATTGTGCTGTAGCTTCAGCGCCATAGTTTCACGGTCAATTATCGAGGCTTTACGTAACCCAGTGGATTCTCTAGATTCCATCAATTTCAGTGGAAAAGACAACAATGACAAAACCCCCTGGATGTCCCTCGAAGTCCACTGAAGTCCTCCGGCCAATGAGCATGGGCGTATTTGAAACGAAAATCATACAAAAATGAGTCAATAACAAAAAATCACTCTCAAAAGTTACTTTCGTTGTTGGATGGTTTGACTCTAACATAAGTCTGGTGGTGACCAAATTAACTACAGAAAAAGCAGGTGACGACCTACACAAAACCATGAAATGATTTGTAACGGAAATAACAGGTTACAGTATAAATAAATTCAATATACAGGGTGTTTCTAAATGATCCAATTACCTTTCGTCCAGCGTTAGATTCGAGCCCCCTGAATACGGGAAAAATGCGAAAAAAATTATTCATTAACTAGTTTTTAAATTATTAACGTTTAAGATGGACCAATTGGGAGCGCGTATTTTGCCGCGACGGAGTGGGTAGAGAGGGGAGTAGAACATATGACAACAACGCATCTAGTTATGGAGAGGCTAGTGACGTGAAGGCAGTTGCGGTATTGTCAATATTACTAGACGATGGAGGGATGTTTTCATGTATCTTCAATCAGTGATTGAGTCATTGGTTAGGCAGTATGCAGATTGGAATGACATCAAATTTTGAATGGTTTTTTGAACCCGAAAAAATGAGGATCGAATGTGAATCCCCCGCTGATGAATCCAATGCATCCAATGCGCAATAAATAATAATGAATTGATGTTTGAGTTGAAAATTAATTAGAGGCAAAAGTCCAGATCAACTCTTGATACTCTATGACGATAGGACTCGAAATAATCGTCACAGAATAAGGGACAGGATGAGTGTCATGATAAGGGTAGGCATGGGAGTCACAGTAAGAGTAGCAATGAGGGCCAGATTATGGGTCCCAATAAGGGTCAGAATGAGCGTCAGTATGGGGGCTGAAATAAGGGTCGGTACGAGGGCCAAAATGAGAGTGGGTATAAGGGCCAAAATAGGGGTTTGAATAAGGGCCAAAATGAGGGTCAAAATAAAGGACAAAATAGGGCTCGGTATGAGGGCCAAAATGTGTGTTTAAATAAGGGCCAAAGTGAGAGTCAAAAGGTGAGAGTGAGGGCCAAAATGGGGGCCGGAATAAAGATCATTATAAGGGCCAAAATAAGGGCCAGAAGAAGGATGAAAATGAGGGTCGGAATTAGGGCCAAAATGGGTGTCGGAATTAGGGCCAAAATGGATGTCGGTATAAGGGCCAAAATAGGGGTCGGTATAAGGGCGCAAATAAGGGTCGGTATAAGGGCCAAAGTAGGGGGGGTATAAGAGTCAAAATAAGGGCCAAAATAGAGATTGGTATGAGGGCCAAAATGAGTGTTGAAATAAGGGCCAAAATCAGTGTCATTATGAGGGCCAAAATAAGGGGCAGATTAAAGGTCAGAATAAAGGTCAGAATAAGAGCCAAAGTGAGAATCAGAATAAGTGTCAGAATAAGGGCCACAATGAGGACTCGTGTAAGGGCCAAAATGAGCGTTAGAATAAGGGCCAAAATAAGGGTCAGTATGAGGGCTAAAATGGGGGTCGGTTTAAGGGCCACAATAAGGGTCAAAATCGGGGTCAGAATAAGGGACTGTATGAGGGCCAAAATGGAGGTCGGTATAAGAGCCAAAATAGGGGTCAGAATAAGGGCCAAAATAAGGGGCAGAATATGGACCAAAATAGGGGTCAAAATATGGGTTGAAATAAGTGCCAAAATGAGGGTCACTATGAGGGCCTAAATGGGGATCAGAATAAGCGCCAAAATAAGGGTTGGAATGAGGGTCTGTATGAGGGCCAAAATAGGGGTCGTTATAAGGGCCAGAATGAGGGTCAGAATAGGGGTCAAAATAGGGGTCGGTATAAGGGCCAAAATTATAGTCAGAATAGGGGCCAAAATAGGGATCAGAATAAGGACCAATGAAGGGTTGAAATAAGGGTCTGTATGAGAGTCAAAATGGGCGTTGGTATGAGGGCGAAAATGAGGGTCAGAATAAGAGCCAAAATAGGGGTCAGAATAAGGGCCAAAATAAGGGGCAGAATATGGGTCAAAATAGGGGTTGAAATAAGTGCCAAAATGAGGGTCACTATGAGGGCCTAAATGGGGATCAGGATAAGCGCCAAAATAAGGGTTGGAATGAGGGTCTGTATGAGGGCCAAAATAGGGGTCGTTATAAGGGCCAGAATGAGGGTCAGAATAGGGGTCAAAATAGGGGTCGGTATAAGGGCCAAAATTATAGTCAGAATAGGGGCCAAAATAGGGATCAGAATAAGGACCAATGAAGGGTTGAAATAAGGGTCTGTATGAGAGTCAAAATGGGCGTTGGTATGAGGGCGAAAATGAGGGTCAGAATAAGAGCCAAAATAGGGGTCAGAATAAGGGCCAAAATAAGGGGCAGAATATGGGTCAAAATAGGGGTTGAAATAAGTGCCAAAATGAGGGTCACTATGAGGGCCTAAATGGGGATCAGGATAAGCGCCAAAATAAGGGTTGGAATATGGGTCTGTATGAGGGCCAAAATAGGGGTCGTTATAAGGGCCAGAATGAGGGTCAGAATAGGGGTCAAAATAGGGGTCGGTATAAGGGCCAAAATTATAGTCAGAATAGGGGCCAAAATAGGGATCAGAATAAGGACCAATGAAGGGTTGAAATAAGGGTCTGTATGAGAGTCAAAATGGGCGTTGGTATGAGGGCGAAAATGAGGGTCAGAATAAGAGTCAAAATAGGGGTTGGTATAAGGGCCAAAATTATAGTCAGAATAGGGGCCAAAATGGGGGTCAGAATAAGGGCCGAAATGGGGTTCGGTATCAGGGTTAAATTGGAATTGCGCATCGAAGTTTGTTGTTAAAGTTATATCAAACATCACCAATAAAGTAGGAAATTTCATTCATTCCACAAAAGATAAGATCGAGATAGGGGCCAAATATAATTTGGTGTATAAGATTCCTTGCAGCTCTTGCAATAATGTGTATATTGGTCAGACCACTCGTTATTTCAGAGAAAGGGAGAAAGAGCACATGAGGAGCGAAAAGAACCCTGATTTGTATAGAACCGGGCTTTCGGGTCATGTAAACGAGACAAAACATCGATTTGATTTTCAGAAATCGGTGATTTTAAAGAATGGTATACCCGGTTCAAATTTGAACATGCTAGAAATGTTTTACTTTAAAAAATACAATGATTCCACTGTTAACTTTATTAATGATAATAAAAAACTCGGGACCACTTATGACCACATCATTAAACTTTCTTAAATATTTCGGTTTGTGCTTTGATAGTTTTTGTTGGTAGTTGGCTGGATTCTAATACCTTGACATTATGGTTATGTAACAGACTTACTTATATTTTATTCATTGACTCGTTGGTAACTTTGCCGTTTTTTTCCGTTAATTTTCTAGGTACTCTTTTCAGAGTTATTCTTCTTTTTGAGGGAATAGGCTTCAATATTTTAAAATATCATACATTTCATTTTTTGACTAATTGTTTGTTAGGGTTTTTTTAGAATATTTTCTGAAGGCTCAAACAATTTGAATTGGTAAAGAAATGGAATTTGAGGACGAACATTTGAATTTGCAGTTGCTGTGGCGGTTTGGGGCAGCACTTGTCCTTGTCTTTCATGTCAGTTTTTGTATTTGATTATACCAGTTGGAGGTTGTAATACACAATAACAACAATACCAGCATGGTTTGGTTGCAACGTTTTCGCACAAAAAAAACATTAAAAACGAATAGTAACGGATATTAATTATAATGAATGTTGTAAGCAGCAAAATCAAACCTATTTTTCTAAATTTTGTTGATGCTGGTCATGGGTTTTGCCTGTGTTTTTAATCACGAATTATTATTTTAGGTTATGATGCGACAAAAGAATTTTCCAGTATTTATTGGATTAAAATGTCTAATTGTTTTTAGATCTCTGTTAGTCCACAACATCACATGGACTTTTAGGTAATGGTTTTTATTACAATTCAGGAATTAATAGTGATAACAGTTTAACAACAATAGATTCTTGTAATTTTCATTTGTATTTTCACAAAATTTAAATTAAATTTTTTTGCCCTGATGAAGAGTTCTTTGAGAACTCGAAACGTTGGCACTTGGAAATGAAGCAGTTGTTTCTTCATTTTGATGATTTAAATCAATTAATACCGCTTATTGGACCGTTTTTGGCTGAGCGGAGAGAAGGAGGAATGTCATCCTCCTCAGGGGAGTTCGGAGGGCTCATATGGAGATGAAGACCCCAATGGCATTGCTCTCTCCCGGTTTGTTCAATAGCTTTTGACAAACATGAAGGAGTCAAGAAATCTCACCGTATTGCAGGTCTTGACGGTTCCCGATGAAATGTGACATTATGAGATTCTTTACATTTTTCTTTCCGAATGGAAGCATTGTAATCGTTCAAATTTAAGTTTTGGATTTTTTGTTTTATGTGAACCTGTTATTATCCAGAAAGTCCGAAATTTGGTACATTTCGACACTAGGCCGTGAGGAACTAATGTCGAATTGAAATGAATTTCTTCCTTTGTTTCTCGTCTCGCCTCTCGTTTCTCTCGTTCTCGACCAGATTGTCATATCTATAGTTTCGTTTTTCGTGTCTCACCTCGGTATTGGTGAGCCCTATCCATCGCCATTAATAAAAATTCAGTCCATTGAATCATTTCTACAATTTTTTAATTTTTCCAAAAATCAGTTGTATCACGATAACTATTTACACAGTAGAATGAACACTAGCACATCGTCGTATTCGCTGTCGATTCCTGCAGTGAAAATATCAATAGAAATTAATTCTGAATCTGATCATTTTTGGAACTAGTTGTATTTTTCGGAGATATAAACAAATCTATTTTGCAGCCTCAACAATTCCCAACAGAAAAAGTTCTCTCGCATTCCCGAGTGAAAATTCTGTTCAGGTCTCGATCAGAAACTGATCAAGTCCGATCCGAAATTCTGATCAGGTATGTTACGCCTCTGCCTTAGGTTTTTCCACTAGTGTTTCTCCGCCTTCCATCATTAGGCATTAAGGCCCGGGTGTAATAATTTTTTTCCCCTTGACCGATTTAACGCCATCATGTTTGGCGGTTGCATTAGGAATTAAAAAATCCCTAGTTGCGCCGTCGGTAACTGCGCGATTGACTAATAATGGTAATCGAACAGGTCCGTATGTAGGGGATCAAATCAGGGGGCCTAATTTTTCCTCCCGCAAAAAT